TTCACTTCTCATTAATGCTAAGATGCCTTCAAGAGTCATCATTTCTACTGAGTAAACGCATTTGGAAGTTTTCAAAGTTTGTTTCATTTTATTAACAATAGATAAACTAAACCTCGTTTCTAAATCTAATCATATCATTAATTTGTGCTCTTTGTACTATCTTTTCTAGCTCTTGCCCCTAAATCCCACCACGTGTACGTTTGACCTTTTTTCCCTCAAAGTTTTAGTTTAGTAATCAAAATCCATTTTGCTTACTGGGAATCATTTGTCCATAATAACAAGTAACCGACAGTGGAGTCTGAGTAGTTTGTGAAGTGACTTGTTTAATATTTATAGATTTCTAACTGAGTTAGGCACGAAAATGAAAAAAGATGCACTCTTTGGCTCATTTTGGCCAATGGGTATATGAGCTTTTCAGGATTTTCTTGAAGATCTCTGAATTTGAGCAGAATGACACATGTGGAATCAGGCTACTTGATCTCTTGGTATCAGAAATATACTATACTGTTCTGTTCATGCTGCACGGACTGAGAATCTGAGATCCTACTGCATTACTACTGAAAAATCCTTTCACAGAGAGATTCTTGAAACAATTTTGTCCCCTTACACAATGAGACGACAGGGTAAATCGACATTCAAGGATTGAAATGCTCTCAGATCTTTTTGCTTTAACCAATGTTCAAACTTCAATCCACCAATTGATGAGTCAAACTTTATTGCTATGAATTGTCGTTTAAGCTCTGATTAGGCTTTGACAAACTTCAATATCAAGAATGGTTAATTGATTTGAATGCCAAGTGAGAATGAAGGAAAAAGTGAAAGCGGGCTGCTTTATCTAACAAAGCTCACTAGAGCCTACCATTTTGGACATGTATAAAGGTTTAGTATAATTATATAGCACACTGTTACACACAGGATTAGCGACATTTTCTGCAGTGTACAAGAGTTGATACCGTGATTCCAGGGAAAACTTGGAAGAAAACTCCACGTTAAAGACCTCGAGAAATAAGCATAAATTATTAAGAAAATATAGGGAAACGGTTGAAAGAAGCATGTGCCAAGTGGGACCGTAGATTAAGCAGTTTGGTAGTCTAACCAAAACATTTGCATGTGCTCCTTCGTTTCTGCTAAATGACTTTGAGAGAAGAAAATGAAAAATTTTAAAAATATGAATCTGTTTCTGTCCCTCTGAATGGCTAATTTGTCCCTTCCAACCACGCGACCCCACTTCAAAGTCTTCTCTGGTTTCCTATATAAAGAAAGCATCCTACCTTCTGCTATGCTCAAAGCAGCAAAAGCTCTCATATCTTACTAAGAATCCTCTGTTTTCCCCCTCTTCTCTAAGCACTAGCTAGCACACAACACAATGGCCATTGCAGCGACATTCTCTGCCTTCTCTCTTTTCTTCCTTCTTCTTCTCAACCTTCAAGGCTCCTTTGGTGACAATGGAGGATGGCAAGGCGGTCATGCCACATTTTATGGTGGGGGTGATGCTTCAGGGACGATGGGTAAGTTTTGAACAAAAATGTTCTCATTTGGGGTTATGCGTACATACACTATAGGCAGTCTTCTGTCTGTCATGAGACAAAAAGTTGGAAACTTTTCATCTGGGTATTGGGTTTCTGATGAAATTATGGGTTGTTCTTGCAGGAGGAGCATGTGGGTATGGGAATTTATACAGTCAAGGTTATGGAACTAACACTGCAGCCCTGAGCACTGCTCTGTTCAACAATGGTCTGAGCTGTGGTTCTTGCTATGAGATGCGATGCAGTGGCGACCCCAAATGGTGCCTCCCTGGTTCCATCACTGTCACTGCCACTAACTTCTGCCCTCCTAACTATGCTTTGGCCAATGACAATGGTGGCTGGTGCAACCCTCCCCTCCAACACTTTGATCTCGCTGAGCCAGCTTTCTTGCAGATTGCTCAATACAGAGCTGGGATTGTTCCTATTTCATTCAGAAGGTAAAAATAAAACACCACAATTGTACTGTCATATTCTCCATCTGTGCTTATTAACAAGAAAGCACTCACTAACATGTTTGTTTTGGTTTGGAAACAGAGTCCCCTGTGTTAAGAAAGGAGGGATCAGATTCACCATCAATGGCCACTCATACTTCAATTTGGTCCTGGTCACAAACGTTGGAGGTGCTGGAGACGTTCATTCTGTGTCAATCAAGGGATCAAGGACGGGATGGCAAACCATGTCAAGGAACTGGGGCCAGAACTGGCAGAGCAATTCATACCTCAATGGCCAGAGCCTGTCCTTCCAGGTCACAACCAGTGATGGCAGAACCATCACTAGCTACAATGCTGTGCCAGCAAACTGGCAATTTGGACAGACCTTTGCGGGTGGACAATTTTAGAGTTTTTTAAGGTTACAGTTAAAAGTTGTCTTCATGAAATATAGTTGGGTTTGTTTGTTTTATGATTGTGATGGAAAGAAAGAAAGAGGGGTAGATTAGGAGGAGCTCTTCATCATGCCATTATGGCTTCTAATGCAGAGGTGGCTATATGGCACCCGCTAGGCCTGTTATATATATAATATAGTTGTTTTGGTTTAGAGATCTCCAATTCATCATTGCCTTTTGATTTGTTTCGGGTGAAGGCAGTGAATATCTCATTTATAGCCTTGTAAATTTAATTCCCCAGATGGTCTAAAAAGTAAAAAACTAAGTTGGGGCAAGTTATGTCAATCATTCAATCTAATGAGCATGCTTGTTGCAAAAGTCTTCTTCATCTTTTGCTATTTTAGTTTTCTAGATATTATTTTAACGAAATGGCTGTCTTTTTTCTTTTTCTTTTTTTGCCAAAGATTTAATATTTATCTTGAATGTCTAGCCACAAATATTTAAATACTTCTTTCATTAAAAAATATAAAGTATTATTAACTAAATCTTACTCTTCAATAAAATAATTACTCATCTTCAAATTAAACTATCTTTCTATATTTACTACTATGTAATAAGGTATTTCACTTTAAAATAATTATAAAATAATTATTAATAGGAGAGCTTTTTGAAAGAAAATTAATGATTACACATTAAAATATTAAAAATGTTTTACATTTTTTAACATCCAACCATTAAAAAATGTCTTATATAAATATAAGAAAAGTAAATATAGAAAGGAATGTATTTTTAATATATTCTACTTCCATGTGAAATTTTAAGCATACAAAAACTAGTAAAATTCTTGGTGCCTATCATAAAAATATCTTTTAGTGAGAGAGAGAGAGAGAGAGAGATAGAAATATTCATAATAATTGTTATAGTCTTACCATCATTATTCATATATTTTTATATTTTGGAACAGTGTTTTGTTTTTCATCCACAAAATATGTTTTTATTTCGTTTCACCAAACAAGACCCAATTCTTTTTTTTTTTTTAAATAGTAGTAGATAAGATCAAATAATTTTTTTTCCTTCCGTATTTGTAATTCAAATGAGATACAACTACTGATGTCCCAGAAAAAAAAATTTATGCAACTACATTAGTCGCACGTTCATATTCTATATGAATAAAACAAAATGGAAGTGTAAACATGATTACTAAAAATGCAGACAATGTCTAATGTGCAATTAGAATATTGAGGGTGAGATTGTGAGGCACATGGAAGTCAACTAGTTTTAGTTGCACCTTTGAATACAGAGAAGTGATACCAACCTCTTACTCTTAGGACCAAGCAAGTAGGATGACTTCTAAAAGCCGAAGACATAATAGAATGAAACCAACTTTCTCATACTTATTAAAAAATAGACTGACTCGTCTACTTCTCTTTGCCCTTTGACTATGGCAATCTTTGGACCATTCACATTTCACAATGTGTGTTACATTACATAGCCCCTACCTTTTTCAGAGGGTCCCTCAGCTATATCGGAACTGACTATTCCACCCAACCCTTTGGTCATCATGGACTCCAATTCCAAGGCCTAATGGCTATAACTATGTGTATTTATCTTTCTTTGTTTTGTTCTTTGAATACATGAAACCATACAAGATGAGAAACTAACCAAGAGCATGATATTGATGCCCCATATACATATCTGAAGGCAAAACTTGTTAGTCAACTCAATAAATTATGACCTTCATTTTTCTTTTATTAAGTGCGATTGAAGTATTTTCCATTATATGGTGTTCACGTAGTATAGCTTGATGCAAAGAGTTGATATAGTCAGCTCAATAAATTAGAACCCTGCAAAGACTTGGTATTGAAGGAAATGAATGGATTCAACAGAGACTGAGCTCCAAAGAATGTTTGGTCAGCGTTTTGTTTCATTCCTGTGAAACTCTGCATTTATAGAAGGATGAGTTATGAGTATGTCTTGTGTGATGAAAATGACCTAGAGACGGTGATGAAAATGAGAATTTCTTTTCTTTTCTTTTCCTTTCTTGGATAAAGAAAATGAGAATTTCTAACCTAGACAACTATTCTATACGTATTACGGGCCACGGGGTTATGAAACATGATTTTCCCCGCTTTTTTGATAATAATGAAACCTTTGCATGTTAGGTCTATTCCTCAGTGGTGCTTCTCCAGTTCAGCGCACAGCCCAATTTGTGCTCAGTGCTGGACATTAGGTCCCTTGCTGCTGCTTTTCCTGTTTAATGTCTTCAATATAAAAACTGCTTAATTTACCATTTTACAAAAATACTTTTAGCCCCTTTTTTGAGAATGAATCGGCTTAGAATTGAATATTCATTTCATTGACTTCACCGCTAGACTAAAAGCTCATTGAATACCATTAGATTGGAACATATTGGAACGGTTCACATTGTAATTACACCAGACACTTCTTCCATGTATACTAGTGGCACACAATATACAGTTATTTTTTTGTGAGTTTGCACGTTTTTAACATTTAACTTTAAATCTCATTCAAATGTATAGAAAAGTATTGGAAAATAAAAAATGCACAAAAAAATAAAATATGCATATAAAAAATGGTATAGAACTAGAAATAAAGTGATACTGATTTCTGGCCAAAGAAAAAGATACTGATTTTCAAATAAATAATAACTTTTTTATTATCTATTTACCTAATTTGCCAAGGACAAAGCCCAAGAACGGTATCAAGTTACTTTTACCAAATGCATAACTTAGTTTAAGATTTTAATTAAAGGCCGACGTTAAAATATACACGTTACGAGGGTGCATAGAAACTGGCTGGACAACTCAGGTTGTGAGGTCTAACAGCCAAACTCTTATAAGCCGTCCGGTGGCCATCCTTTCTACAAATGTCTACCGGAAATTAGCAGTTCAACCCCATAACCCATGTTCAAAATCTTGCATAATTGGTTAGAAAGAATGCTTCACTTTAACCTCTCACTTCGCAGCCTCTCCAATTCCTTGACCATTTGCCAATGTTCTAGCGACAGGCTGGTCTCACCAAAGCTCAAGGACATGAGACGGCCCATTGTTAACCATCTGTTGTGAGGGTAAAAACAAACCATGCACTCAATAGAGTTCAGATATGAAAATAAGGTTAGCATCAACAATGCAACGAGTCTGTAACTCACCTGCTAAAATCTTGGGGATTCAAACTCCTATCCGCTTGTCTTGCTGCAACTAAATCATTTTCTACCACCTGTAGATACATGTCAACAATAAAAAGCGAGCCTCCAAAGATGCTTCAGGTATGTCATTTTAACAGATTAAGAATTAAGAATCCAGATAATAGTGAAAGAATCCAAGCCATCAGCATGAAGATTGGTTAATAGTAGCATAAGGCGAACCGTATCCTCGATAATGACTAGGTTTTTATGCCAAGAGCAAACACAATATAATTTGTTTTTTAACTAGTTTCTGTCAGCTCAAAAGAGCCCTATTTGATTAAAAATGCAGTAAAAAATATGACCCAAACCTTCTGCATTTCTGATTCAATAGAATGTGGAAGTAATCTAACAGTAGCCAAATACCACCTCCAAGCGTCCCAAGCTTCTCCAACGACTGCTTCAGTAGCATTTACAACAGAAGGTCGGAAAGGTACAACTACATCAGCGGGCAATATATTTGATTTCCCTTCTGACATAACTAGCAGCTGAACATCAGTAGCCATTTCCATTCTGTAGTACTTGAAATCATATTCCAGCTGAAGTACAGTATCAAGTGTCAGTTTCTTCATCTCTAATTCCAAATAAAGTAATAGCAAACAAGCAGCAGTGAAGGAGAACAGCACTTCAAAATTTCTTGATGTTGAGTAATGTCGACATTTCTAGAAGTTTTGAAGGGCATTGATAAATTTGTTCCTAATAAATGGACATTTATACTACAGCAATTCACACGACTGAGTTGAGCAGAGCAGAGTATCAGACAAGAAAATAACTACCTTTTGCAACTCCATCAAATTTCTCAGCAGCCTTGCATTCTCCACACCCAGAGAGTTGAGGGTTCCCGCCTCTAATTTAGTTTCATCAACAATTAGATGTGAACCTTCAGCTAATTGCAGTACTCCAGTAACCAGTCTGAAGCATTAACACTAGTATTTGTAAATGTGTGTTCGTACAATAAGATGTCTGTAAATCAGAAGAACTAGAAATTACAATTATTACAATTACCTGTTTGTATCATAATCTTTCCTTGGTGCAAGTGCAGTTGTGTTTAGGTACTCCACAGTGAGGGGCATATAATGTGTGAAAGGCAAGAGATTCTCTACAGAAAGAATTAATAAATTTCCAAAGGTAGACATAGTTTCTTTGCTAAAGCAAGTAAGGTTTAGTGAAAGCTTGCCCACTGCAAGAGTGTCCGCTCTAGCATGTACCTGCTCATTAACAGACCACCATATAAGGGTTCTCAATTGTGGAAGAGGGTGGAAGAACATATGCTGAATACAAGTTGTTAGCCGGACAAGAATCAAGCCCACATTTACAAAACCATTAAATGACTGGGGAAATTTTTTTAAGAACTGTGTACCCTGGATAGGAGATGTAGCAACAAGAAATGAGCAGCCACAGCATCATTGCCAAGAACAGATGTGAGATGTCTTAGTAGAGCTTCCCTAATCTCTTTGATCAAGTGGGATTTTGGCTGTGAGATCATGTACTCGCTTTTTAAGCAAAGACTTTCCAATCAACGCAAATATCAAAAGAGAACCCAGCTCAAGAAGTAGAACTTCAAACATACAAAATAAATCCCAAGCCATTCATTCAGATTAAACAAATTATACTCAAGAACACATGCAAATTACCTCTATTATGGTGTTATTCTGAAGGAAGTCTGAGACTGCCAGCTTCCTGTGAATAAAGCAGTGAAGGCGTGGTACCTGTGTCACAAAGGAAAACAGATTTTCAGATGTTAAAAGCCAGATACCCCGTTGCCATAGCATCAAATGTATTTCCCTTGCAGTTGAGCCTGAAGTAACAAGCAAGCCTGTCAGATTTATATATGCTTTTGGGGGAGAAACAGGTGTTTTGATTCAATTAAGTGTTGAAGTGTCCGGAAGTGACAGTATAGTACAGATAGCATTTTAGAATTGTTATTATTGACGCACTTCAACAACTCTTTTGACTTTCAAGTGATCAATTCCAGGAAAGGATGTGCCTTAGCAGGAAGAAACTTTGAACCCGTGTCCCTTAACATAAAGAACCTATGCAAACGTGCAAAGAATTAATTTCCATAGCACAAAATGGGGATCAGTATTACTTTCATTGTAAGTTGCAATAAACACCTTGTTAGCTGGAAAATGTTGCAATGGGTCTTCACAAAAATCATCTGAAAAGTCACAATCTTTATTGTCCACCTGAGCCTCCACATTAGAAGCAAGGACACCAACAAACTCAAATACATCATTCAGCTTTAAGTCAGATTCTGGAGAATCATATACCTGTCAAAAAATAATGAAAATGAAGAAAAGAACAATGAGAACTACAAAAAAATGTAAATAACAATGAATAAAATCATCATACAAAAAAAGATTGAAATCCATGTCAACAAATTTCATAAGAAATTAAAAGAGAGGAAGACAGAATCATTCTTACCTTCACAAGACAAGGAAGTGAATTACCATCATACCCAAGCATCATATCCATGCTAGAGCTAGAAGTCTCAGGCAAAACTCCCAGAGATACAGTAGCAAGGGAAGGGTGTTCATCTTCTCTCTGCAAATTATGTCCAAAATCATAAAGGCCAATTCTTGAAGGAACCACTATGTTAAAAAACACATTAATATCAATCCTCTAAAGAACTACATAAGAAGTTTCAACAATGTCAGTTTGGAAGTGTTTGTCTATCATTCTGTTGATTTACACAGGACAAATACTACATCATCTGAAAAAGACTCTAGTTGTTCACACATTTAATACTGCTCAGTCTGTCAATATATCAATTACGGGACCAAATCCATAGATCTAAAGACTTGAACAAAAAGCTGGCAGGCCTTAAGGCATTTGAGGACCAGCATCCAACTTGCTAATATGTGTGAAGAGAATTTGAAAGAAATGCAAAAATAATAATAATAATAATAAAATAAAGAAAAAAGCTACAAAAGGCTTAATAAAATATTCAAAGATTTAGGGGAAAAATCTCAAGATGACTTGTGATCAGTGTGACTCTAGATAAATTTTATATCTTATATTGATATTGATGATTTTTGTTCTTTTTTTTGGGGGGGGGGGTTCAAAGCAAGTCAATGTGAAACTTAGAACAAGCAACATATGTAATCAAGCCCTTAAAGCAAGACACTTAACAAGATAACTCGTGGCTGATTATCTTCAGGGAATGAAATAAAAGGATGAAAAGAATGAGTAAGCATAAATTCTACATACCATCTTTTTGGTATCTGGAGAGCCTTGAATCATATCAGCTGAAACCTGTGAATTAATTCAGTGTGTTGGTAAGAATGATAAATTATAAATTATCCAGTACTTAATGATGTCAAACTTCAAAAATTAATCCAATTAACTCACTTGTAGGTTTTTAAATTAATCACTTCTCTTTATGCACAGAAAAATTACCAAGAGAAAATTAAAACATGCATTAATATCTTGCAACCAAATCATTACTAAAGCTCTTAATTTCAAGGAATTAACGTCAAATTGACCATTTTCTATTCATCAAATGATTATTTGTGAATTTTGAATTCTCTGAAGGTAATGATCTAACAATCAACAGCATGACTAGGCAAGAATATACATGCATATCCTTGCATTCATCAGATTCATCATCTGCCCGCCTCCTCTTTTCTCTTTGTTGAAATGTCCAATCCATATATTGATTAGTAAATGCTTCTGTTGAAATTTCAGTCCATTCATTCTGCCCCGGAACCTGATTAAAAGAGGAGAGGAAAAAACATAAATCATTGAAATCTTGACCGTTAGGCAAGTCATGAATCATCACCATTCATTTCTCAGAATAGTTTCCCACTTCTTGGACGCTAAAACTAAACATGTAAAATTGAGTTTGGCATTGAATGAAACCAGCAGCAGCTGAACGAAACTGTTTAGGTTCTTCTATAAAAGCATCTGAAATAGGTGCAGCAAGCATCCATGTTGAGAGAAAAGGTTGACTCTAGAGAACTCACCGGAACACAGTATAGTAGCCGCCGTTCCCAGATTCGCATATCTGCTGAGGAACCCATAGGAAACTGAGCTACATCCATAAACTTGTTGGTCCTCCACACTGAACCATCCTTCAAGATTGCCAAAAAAAAAAAGTTCGCCCTCGTCAGAATTACTTTGTATTAGAGAGTATAGATAGTTAATCCAGAAATTGTTAGATTAATGACAAGAGAAAATACCTTATAAGCACCCACATAAAGCTCATTCCCAAGCATGTCTTGTATCATTCCGCGAAACCGAACTAGAGTATTGGGTTGTACCCATCTGAGGGTTGCAGGAGTCAAAACTGGAACCTGCAACAAGTGAACAGCATATACCGAGTGTAACAGATTTATCACTAATAAATACGTCATTAGGAAAATACAAAAAATAAGTAAAACCAAAAGATCTACCAAGTGATAAAATAATTGATTTGCAACATACAATGAACTAATTGAGCTCGGAATTCCAGCAAATTTCAGAAGTAACAGCTCAAAATAGTTATAAAAAAGGGCGAAAATAGTCTATTCGCCTTTCGCCAAGTTCAAACAAAGTAAGTCTATAAAAGTCATAAACTTATGAGTTCCAGAAACCAGTCATCCTACGAGATAAAGACAACATGTGATTTTAAAAATTGGGGGGTTTATAGTGAACGATGACAGTTCTGAGGGGGGGAAAAACAGAAATACGAAAAAGAAGTAAGCGAACCCGAGAAAGTCCAGGCTGATCAAAGAGGAAACGACTGAAGAGATCAATGGCGCCCCAGTCCTTGGCGTCAAATGAGGCAGGGTCGGAGCTCGAAGCAATCGCTTTCTCGAACGTGGATCTCACGACACCGAGAGGATTCGCCAGAAAATCGTAAGGCGGTCCCACCATTTCTAAGTTCTGAATCGCCTAATCGCTCTGTCTTTCGCCTTTAGCGGAATCAGGATGGTCGGCGGTTCACTACCCGTCCAGTGGTCAGTGGAGATATGTTGTTCGTTTTCCCGCCTAAACTTCGTGCGCTGTTTATTCCCGCCATCCTGAGCCCTAGTCTCTCTTCTTCAAGGTTCTACTGAGCTGTCTAATTTTTTTAAAACAAAAAAAAAAAACAAAAATTGTGCAATATACACACGCGTGCTATTTTATAATTTTTTTTTCTTAGCTGGTTCAAAATTCATTTAATCGAATTATAATCGAATCGTCTTAATCATATTAAAATATTTTAAATTGCACATGCTGTAGTATATTATATAAAAATAAGAAAACTCCTATCTTAATTTTTAATTATTTTTTATCAATTTTTAATAAAAGGTTAGGATACTTTATTTCCACCCACATTCCATCCTTAAAATCCGCTCCTTTCCATAAAAAGAATTGAGTTTGAAAACTCATAGAATTTAATTTTAATATAACCCAAAATTAAATAGTTTAGATTGATTCCAATCTTGTCTAGCAACTTATTTTGTGTTTTTTTTACTTCATGAGAGACAACAATTTATTTTAACATAATAAACTTAATTAATAATAAAATTACTTATAGCCAAATAAAATTTATCCCAATAAATATAAATTTATAACAATTTCCAACAACAACAAAAGTATTTCAAATGCAATACAAAAGATCTAAATTAAACAACCTTTAACAACACGTAAAAGGTTCATTACACTAAGTTAAGAACAAATTTTATCAATAAAAGGAAAAGATTAAGGTTGATCAATGCTAATATTTTACTCAATATTCATAACTTCACAAGTATAAGATACAAAAAATTACTAATCATTATTATAAATTAACTTATTATTATGATAAGTAATTTAATGGTATTAAAATAAATTTATAAGACCTGACCGGATTAAGTGGTTCAGGTGTTCCAATCCAATCAAAAAATAGAGTTCGACTTTTTTAATCTTGAAAAACTAGTTTTTATTCGGACCAAACTAAGTTGTCTCGGGTGGAATCGAATTGAACTGAAGCAAACGACTTTTGCACAATACTACGCACAAGGCTGGATGTTGCATGTCCGCGCCTCACTTTGGCCATGTGGAAAGGAAAACACAAGTAAAATAGTTGGAATAGAAGTTAATCCAAAAACATAGCAATAGCATCAGAGCTTTCAAGTGCCAATTACAAGACAAGAAGCCCCTTTGACTACACAATGCTTGGCATTTTGAAGCCTGTACTTGTTACCCATATTACATGCATGACCCTACTCTACACAACATAAACCATCCCAACCTCCAAGAGAGACACAGGTGGAACCTTAAGCGCCACGTCAGGGCCTCTGCAATTCCTTCTCAGGAAATTGTAGCCATAGTTAACAGCCATTCTCTTTATCAGGGATGACCCTTGCTTTGCTCTCACATGAGAGTGCCCTAGTATAAATGCTGTCCCTGCTTGCTGAGCAGCATATAAATCTTCCAGCTCTTCTTGCATTTCCACACCTGCCTCACTCCTGTCTCGTTCTCATCATCAATGGCAAACCTTACTCGTCTTTGAGTCACACCCAGTGGTTCCATCTCTATGACGTCAGTCACGCTTTCGACAGTTGGGAACCCCACTGAAACGCTTGCTGGCTGCAGAGTCTCCTCAATCTCGTAAGCTGGCATCCCAGAGAATCCGATTGTTCCTATCACCGTTAACCTGTGACTTGCTGATTCATTGGAGTTTGAAGCATCGTCCTCAGTGTTTAAGCTAGATACTCGTGACCGGTACCAGTCATAGCGGATGAAATCGGCCAACTTTTGTACTAGTTCAGCTTCAAAGGAGTCAACATCCTGATGAACATCCCGGTATCCATATCTGACTATGCACCTGTAGGACCGATGGTTAGCAGGCCCTACCCGGCCGACAAGGTACCTCTCTGCAGAAGGGACATGAGGGACTGGAACTGATTTTATGCATACAAAGACAAGGATGCGGTGGAATGCAGGGAGATTGGTGACAAAACGAGAGAAGTTAGCCGGGATGCCAGATGTTAGATCAGTGAATACTAGGCCAATTCCGGGCACCCGAGCAATTCCCAAGCTTGGACCTAAGGCTAACAGCCACTCTAGGGAAACCTTGTTGTGGAGGTCAAATTCATATTTCTTGATGGTTGCATAGTGCCAAACCAGCATTATGGTCATAAGGAAGAGGGCAAGGAGGATGGGAAGCCATGCGCCCTCCCGGAACTTTGTCAGTGAAGCTGAGAAATATAACAGCTCAACAGAACCAAAGAACAGTAGGAAGCAGAGAGCTATGATTGGGGGTTTGTGCCAACAAACTACAATCACCAAGGAGGTAAGGCATGTCGTCACCAGCATCACAGTCATCACTGCAAGACCTGCAACAAATAATAAGTGTTTTTATCATATACATTCCAATGCTCACAGCAATACTCTATAAAAGCAAAAACAAATATCATTTAAGTTCCTCAGAACTTGAATAAGTTTGAGGTTAGTCAAACGCACATGGAATTTTAACCATTCAACAAGGTGAAAATCCTAGCCTGGGTAATCAACATGAACGTGTAAGAACTCACCAGATGCATTTCCCATGTGTTTTGTATCCCTGAATCCAATGGTCACCACAATACAGAGGATCATTAGGATCCAATTGATTTCGGGTATGTAGATCTGACCATGTATCTTGTCTGATGTATGAACAACCTTCACTCTCGGGAAGCAACCGAGTGATTGACTCTGGTTTATGATGGAAAATGTTCCACTGATGATTGCTTGGCTTCCCACAACAGAAGCCAAAATGGCCAAGACAAGCACTGGCCACCTCACCTTATCTGCAACCAAAAACAGGGGGAAATCAGGCTTAAATTTTATAAAGTATACTACTGTAATAGGCCAGGACAACCATACGTTGTTGAGGAAATAATTAGGCAATGCAAATAAGTAGAAATATACTACCATGTTGCCAATCAGAGTGGCTTTCTTCAGATTGTTACGACAAGAGATTAATATGATTGCCTTTAATAAAATGAGCATGAACATGTAATACCTGGCACCGAGACATAAAAACTGATCTCATGGCTGGGATGATGATGATATGACAAGTAAGCAGCTTGACCCATATATGCCAATATAAGTGCAGGATACACCAGAAAGGTGAATGCAGTCTGCAAGAGACAACCCATTAAAAACTCTCATTAGAATGAAATTTGACCTTCCCCAGGTTTATGTAGAAATTAAAAAGAATCTGCAACCAAAGAAGAACCCCTTTCCCCAGAAATAAAAGCCAGAACAACCTGAATGGCCGCATATGAGAAATGCCCAAGATCAGCAAACATAGCTTCTGAGCCTGTCCGGGAAGTACCCATGTCAGATTATCTTTCAATTGGTAAAATTACATTTAAACTACACGACTCTAGACGGTGAAAATCCAAAGTTTGAACAAGTTATGATGTAATATATATTTTTTAAGAATTGAACAACTTCAGTTAAATATGATTCAGGTAATAATTGGTCCAAAGATTTCCAGCTGTAGATAATTACGAAATCTGACCTTTTTTCTGGTATAATACTTGTAAACAATGGGATAGAGCTCTTTGCTAGTTCCAGATATATTTACAGTACAATTGCATTTCAAGGCTAATTCAGAACATTTTACCACACAAAAATGAAATAAGTAACTCCTTAGCCAAATGCTACTTTTACTTTCGGCACTAAAATGAAAATGCTACAAGTACTGCCAATCCATGTCACAGGACAAATGTCGGATACAATCATCAGGATCAAGTTATGAAGGTGTTAAGCTCCATCTAGCTTTGATGGGTTACTATATGTTGCTAATAACCGGGGGAAAAAACAATCAGAACGGAATTTATTCTGACAGGAGCAAAAAGAACTCCCTTGTGATTTTTTCTTTTTTCCTTTTTTGGCAAACTCCTTTGTGATTTTTCATAGTAAATTAATAAATAAACTGCATGTTTAACATTTATTATTTTAGAATTGATATCATAAATAATTGAGTATACTGAAACTAAATACATCCTCATAAAATTCATGGTTTTGACCTATGGCTGAGGTTGCTCACAAGATGCTCCCAGTCCAGACATATACATAGTACTGTTGTGAGGTTGCTTATAAGATGCTCCTAATCTAATATTCTCAGTCAGATAGGAAGATATGCGTGTTTGTGCAGAGACAGAGTCCATGATTCAACTAACATGTAAGAGTACACAAAATATGGAATTTTACCCCGTGCATGCATGTGTCACTTTTACCTGTTATGCACAACAGTATTCCACCCAAAGACATCCATCCACTTATCCTTGTCTTCTTCAAAAACTTGAACATATAGTATGGCGAAAGGGCTTTATATACATGGGGATTCCATTTGAATATATTATATAAGCCAAGTGTACTGATGCATAGGAGCCATGTCAGCACAATTGGTGCAAAAAGGAATCCCACTCTGTGTGTACCATAGTGCTGAAGTGCAAACAAACACACCAGTATGAAACAGGTGATGGGGATCACTGCATCTGCAATTTCAAAGCAACTAATGTTGAGTTTTAAAAAGAAAGAAAGAAACGTAAGTTATACATTGCAACAAACTGAAATAATAGTTGGCTCCCTAAAAGGCTATTCATAATCTCTTCTATCACCATACTGGAAGATGTTGCTGTCCAATGTTAAATAGTCATGGTTAAGACAGTCATGTTTTGGGGGGTAAAGCTATGAAACATTAAACACCCATCTAAGAGCCACCGATTAAAGGAAAACTATTGATGGACCGTCTTTCTTATTTTATTCTCCCACCAGTCTAGATATGGAAGTAAAACAGCTTTATGTGCGGTTTAGCCAGGAGATAGTTCCTTAGATTTATATTATTGCCATATCATATTGAGTACAAAGAAAGCCTCAGGTATACTTACACTGGTGGTGTTTCTTGGACATGGATACCTCAAGACCAGAAACTGCCGAAAAGACTACATAAATAATAGCAATTACTCAGCAAAATGATAAGAAACTATTTTTTTCAGAGGCATAATATGGAGGAACCTTACCAGAAATGGCTGGAGTAAGAAGTCCATCCCCTATTACCATACAAGTTCCAAGAAGAACCACAATTAGCAGAGCTGTATGCAAGGCCTTGTACTTCTCAAGTAATTTTTTCACTCTAGAACTGTTTCTATCGGGAGGCTGCTCCATTTTATATGTAGATAGCGCTTCATCAGCAATCTGTCTGTTGGGTAGAAGGCTAACTTTAGCATGCCTGCAAATCAAGGAATATAGGGCAAAGGTACCACCTACAAAAGCACGTATTAAAATTATCACCGCGATGACAAGAGCATACTGGATTCTCTCATTTCTTGTTCGTGTGCTTACCCTCTCCATTATCATCAGCTCGAAGGACCACAAACACATATTTGAATAGCGGCACCAAAGTCAGAGTCCAGAAGACAAAAGAAAGAGCTCCAAAAATTTCTTCATTAGTCTCAGAGTGTTGAATGTCTTCTGCAAATGTACTCTTATAAACATATAATGGGGAAATGCTCAGATCCCCATAAACTACACCAAGGCTTTCGTAGGCCAGAAGCAGAAGAGTCTTCCAAGAATTCTTCTGAAATGTAATCCAGCAAGTTACTCTGTAAGAACTCGAATAAATTCAGAAGCATTTTGAACAAAAATTTTATGTGCCCAGTTATCCCCCAAAATACAAAAGCCACATAGATATCACCCCAAGGAAGTGGAAATCTACATGCACTAACCTTGGAGGTGTCCCAACACTTCCCATATTCAGGATCCATTAGCTACACTCCTTATAGTTCAGTGAGTACCACCTTCAGTACAGTGGTAGCTTCAGATCTGCACCGAACAACAGAGAATCCATCAAGGTACATACCATATAAACGAACAATTTGAAGGAATCTCATATTGATCATTGCAAGACCAATCATGATTTATCATGCCCGTTACTTTCGTCTCAAAAGAAGATGAGATAAAAGGAAACGCTCACTAACTTTTCGATAAACCCACATGACATCCATATATCCATCACACACCCATGCCCCACGAATTTTCCAGTGAAGTGAGCACAAATTTCGCCCTCAGGTTAAACAGTCAGAAGAAAACCCGGAAGAGCACTATTCCCAAGGCGACGACAGCAACTCCTAAAACGACTCCTCGCATGAATAAAACAAATGGGAATGGTGAATGAGTGAAGAACGAGAAGAGGCAACAATAATAAGAAAATGGTGGGGTAGGTTGGGTTAGAATACGCAAGTTGTTCTTCAGATATACTAGTATCATTCAGATAGAGAGAGGCAAGCGCAAGTGCATCCCACGCTACCTTTTTATATCTAGCTTGCGAAAATGAAAGAAGCAAGCACCTTATTAATGTTGACGCCCTTCAATTTAAGTCCAATACAAATGATTCAGCATTAGATTGAAGAACTAATTGTGGAAATGAATCATCTGTAGGACCATCACCGCATATGACGAAGATTGAACAACAACGAAAGCATTTTTCAAGGTGATTGTGACATAGGCGCGGTCACGTGATTAGGCGACAGTTACAAGCTCACCAACTCGAGCCCACGCGAGTAAAGCCGGTGTCAAAGATCACTAATCATTTTTTTCTACCTCTCCTACTTTATATCTTACACATACAGACACTCCTTTGCACTCACAGTGAACCATTTTATTTTATTTTATTTTATTTTATTTTACTTTATTTTTTGGTGTGTGTGAAAGAAAACCAACTTTGTCTGACCTCCCGTCGACCTTACGAAATTCCTGCCCTGTTTGAGGCCCGGCAAAGCTGCGAAATTAGAGGAATAAAAGTAAGAAACCCATATTATCACACTAATTCACAATCAATGGGTTTTGCAGGAAAGACAAGCCAAGTGAACTGAAAATAGAGGGGGGCGGGGAACTTTTTTCTTGGTAAAAATCAAAGTGAATCTCAAAAAAGGAAGAATAGAATCTTGGAAGCTTTTAAGGGAAGAGATTGCACATGAAAGAGAACCTAAAAGCTAAAAGGCAGAGGCATGTGCATCAATGAATGCGAATGGAAGAGCCCATGAGAGGTGAACATGCTCCATCACTGACATCATGGTCCAGCAGCAACGTAACCTTCCTGAAGCGATAATGACAACATTAATACCAGCTATTTCCGTTTTCTTACACTCGACTCCACCAAGCCTTCATTCACTGCGAGTGTCCTTGTCGCTTCTGAGATTTAGCCAAACCGCTTTTTGGCCGCGTCTATTATCATCGTACTTCTTCGAGGTTAACGATGGCGACGTTTAATCTTCAGAGCATGGGATCTTTGCTGTGGAATCAAGCAACCGGTCACATTTACAGTCACCCGCACGTAAAGTCGGAAATTTCATGAAACAATTTAGTTAACGGCATATTTTCGCTCACCAAACTCCAAAAAAAAAAAAAAAACTTATTTCTGGTGAAGCTCAAGCTGGAAAGTAATACGGGACTATAGAGATGTAGGTCGATCCCCAGGAACAAAAATGAAAAGAGACATGAAAGAAATATATGGATCCAATTCTGAAGAGAGACTGGATTTTGAGCATGAAGTAGTGAGGACAGTGAGGGATCCGGTTGTATTATCAAGATTATATGAACAGAACAGAGACGAGGGCTGTTAAAAGTACTGAACCAACCGACAATGACGAATGTCGCTTAATAAAGAAGTGAGGAAAAACAAGATTCACCTCTCTTGCTCAGAAACACGGCTAGAATGCCGGGATGAACACACGATTCGAAGAACTTATCGAATTTCTAGCTCTATCTATACATGGCGTAGGGAATATTCTGGCATTCTTTGTCTTGGTTTGATGGTCTGAATATTATTAATGATAGCATCGTGGCTCGATCCAGGGTTGGGATAAAAAATTGACGGGGATTGCTTGGAAGCATAAAGTCTGCAGCACAAGGGTCAATATTCGGATTTCGAGGAAGGAAAGAGGCTGATTAGAATAAAGTGAGTGCGGAAGGATGGAACGTGATTCATGACAAATAAATTATTATTATTTGTGTGAAGCTGCCGCCTTTTCGTGATTCAAGTCAAAGGGAGAGTGGAAGGAGGGTGGAACGGTGGTCGGTGGACTGGGTTTCTTTGTTTGTTTGTTTTTTTTTTTTGAAAGGATTGGAGTCAGTTATTAAAAAATTTATAATTCCTCCATATCAAATTATAAAAAATATTTTTAAAATAATTTATTCATTTTAAAATATAAAATATTTTAAATAAATTAAATTTTTATTAAATACATTAATTTAACATTATCCTTTCTCTTTCTATAATTAATTTTTATCTTTTTTTTAATATATTAAATTATAGATATTTTAGAAGTTTATATTTTTATTTTTAAAAAGTAAGGTTGTTAATTATATTTAATGAAATTTATTGATATATAAAATTTTATTTAAAAATATCTTATAATTTGAGACGAAGGGAATAATTTAAAAGGTGGACTTTTTTTTTAGAGAGAATTCTAATAAAGGATCTTGAATTATACTTATTTAAATTTAAAGTCTTTAAATTTTTAAAATGTCACTACAGTTCAAATATACTTATTTGATATTAAATTTTTAAGATAAATAATAAAATTATCCCTCATTCAAATAAATATTATAACTTCTTAACTTCATTTGCTCATTGTCATACTTTACTTGTTAATTTATTTATGAAATATTGTGTATTATCTTACTTAACTTGTTTTTATTTTAAGACAATTTGTTGGTTCCTAAATTGTACAGCGTGTTTTTTATTACCTTACTTTGCCTGTTCATTTCTAAAATTTTACGTGATTTCATTTTAGAAAAATAAATAAGTAAAGTAAGGCAATTAACAACATTTCGTAAGTAAATGAATAAGTAAAGAAAAAAATTTGATATTAATTTAAATTATGGACAATTTTATCACTTCTCTCATAAACTTAATAATAAATCAATACTCTTAAATTGCAGTAAAATTTTATAAACTTGCGTGCTTTAAATTTAAATAAATACAATTCAAGGGTCTTTTTGAAAAATTTCTTAATTTTTTTCATTTGTAAAGATTTATTTATTGTGTACCAATACTGTCCTATAGGTACTAATTTATAATATTGGTTCATCTGTGAAAATTTTGACTATTTTTTTTTTCAATTTGGATAGAACTTTGATTCTTGTCCTTACATACTTAATATATTTTAATTTAATCATTTTTATTTAATAATAACAACAATGATAATCACAAGAGTTTTCTGTAGCAAAATAATTCATAAAATATTTATATGTTTTGATTTAAGTAGAAACAAATACTTTAAATATATAAGTTTTTCTTTTTATTAAACTCATACAATTAACTTTGATTTTTAAATAATTTAATTAAAAGTCGCAGACTTTGTTGTTTGAAAAAATTAGTAATAATAAAAATTTTAGTTTTTTAAGTTTGCCTCAATTATTAATTTAATTCCTTAAACTTATTTTTGATTAATTTGATCTTTTATATTTTTTTAATTATCATGTGGGTGTTTTAATTTTTAAAATACATATTGACTCTTAAAATAATTTAGTGTGTGAAGTATAATAATGATTTGACATGTATACAAAGTTAAGTGAGAATGAATTAACGCTCAGATGAGTTTAATGTTTATCAATATAATTCCTTACAATGTATTTTATTCTATCTTTTTTTTTTAAAATAGAGTTTTTTTTTCTTCTAAATAATTATGCCTTTTTTTTATTGATCTATATGGCTATCATTGATATTGTGTGATCCAAGTTGATAAATTTTAACAATGTAACTTCTTTTTCTAACAACAAAGACTAAATTGATAATCAAAGTAAATTTAAGAGAATAAAATGGTAAAAATTAAACTTAGATTGTTAATCAAGATAAACTCAAGGAACTGAAAATTACATCATCCTAACAAATTATTATTCAGTTTATGAAAAAATTTAATTAAAATAAATTTGACGTGTTCATAGTTTTTTATAGGGTAAAAGAATAAATTATCATCAAAATTTTAAGTATAGCAATACAATAAATGCTAAACTTACTTGTTATGGAAATTATTTTTTTAATTTTTTAAAACGATACAATCTAATCATTTTGTTAACAAAAGGTAATTGAAATCATTAATTAACTAAAAAATAACAGAAAATGATCTCACAATTTATAGAAAAAAACCAAAATTCATAGACAATGACCCAAAAAATCATGAGAAAAAATTGTGGTCATTTGCTGTAACTTATAATGTTGCCTTTTATTATTTCTGATCAATTAATTATGAAAATTAACTTTTGTTAATATCAGGAATAAATTGTGTTATTTTTAATAGTTGATAGAATAATTTACACAATAATTAAGTTCAAAATCTAAGATACTACTAGATTTAAAAGTTAAGAAATAATTTATTTATTCGTGCCTTTTTATATATGGGGATTTTACTTGGTTTAATTGTGAGGAAGATGATGCTTGACATATTTGCATTCCCATTTTGTGTAGTTTAAAAAAAAAATTAATTATTTAGTCTTTATAGTTTTAATCTAGTTAAAACTTAATTTTTAAATTTTAATTCATTATAACTCAATCATTATAGTTTTAACTCGATTGTAATTTAATCCTTAAACTTTTATTCTTACAATTTAATCCCTACAATTTTAATCACTTAAATATTAATCACTATATTTTAGAAAATAAAATTATAAAGATTAAAGATATCTTAAACTTTAATATTCATAATATTTAATGATTATAATATTAAAATTATAATATTTTAAACTTCTAATATTTATAATACCTTGAACTTGTAATATTTATATTATTAGTAATAGAATTATAAAGATTAATCACTATATTTTAAAAATAAAATTATAAAGATTAAAGATATCTTAAACTTTAATATTCATAATATTTAATGATTATAATATTAAAATTATAATATTTTAAACTTCTAATATTTATAATACCTTGAACTTGTAATATTTATATTATTAGTAATAGAATTATAAAGATTATAATTATGTTAAAATTTATTACTAATTTTTTAAATTATTAAATAATAAAATTATAATATTTTTAAATTTTAATAATTATAATATCTTAAAATTTTAATATTTATAACATTGATAATAAAATTATTTTTTTTCCAGTTACTAGTAATAAAATTACAAAGATTATAATTATGTTAAAATTTATTATTAATATTTTAAATTATTAAATATTCTTAATTTTTATAAATATTA